ATTTCAAAATAAATGGCTTATTTTATCAATAAACTGTGATATTCCTATAAATCGTCATCAGTAAATTGGTATGATTAACTATTCACATCCATCATTTTTATTATTATTTCCGTTTACTTTAAACCAAATGTCATTACTTCACTTGGTGTTGTTTTACTTGTAACTTCCCATACTTATTTAGGACTGCAATCGATCAGTCTCTTGTTGGCATATATATATCCTGTGCGGATTGCCTCTATATCGCCTTAAGTCGCAAGCGTTATAAGTAAAGATAGATAGTAGCTAGCAGTGGAATCCAGGACACGCATTTAGTCAGTTAGATGTACCTGCATCCCAGAGTTGATGTTCACTCCGGGACTCGAACCCAGTGCCGTTCACTTCAAACGCCGTTGCATTGTTCACATAGCTGCAGGTACATCCAGCCGGCGTCGAAACGCGCGTCGTGGATTTCACTGCTAACCACCATCCATCTATGCTTAAATATCATTGCTGCTAAGATTTAATAATGAGTTTATTAATCATTATTGCAATGAGATTACATAAATTCCAGCAAATGTTTATAGTTCGTGGATCACTTGGTTACATACTGAATACAACTAGATAAACTTCTGAAAATCATATGATGTCAGCATATGACAATGTTTATCTTCATGCTGTATACAGCATGGTAATAAACAAATAATAAGTGAAAAGAATAATTAAGTAGAACAGTTGACAATGAAAACAATTAAATAAAATAAATAGGTATTTCTTTTAGTTCTAGCGAGAAGCAGTGACCAGTGGAGTTCAACCGGGTCAGTTGTGATGCTGGCCAGCTCAGTGGTCTAGGGGTTAAGCATTCACGTGCGAAACCGACAGTTCGAATCTCGTGAGGCGGGATGGTGATTGCGCACTGCTGAGGAGTCCCACAATAGGACGAAATGGCCGTCCGATGCTTCCAGATTTTCCATGGTGGTCTAGCTTCAACTAACTCATGATCTCAACTATTAAAATTACGATAATATCCGCAGAAAACCTCTTCTAAATAGAATATGTTATCTTTATTTTTGTAATACAAACAAAACTATCCACATTAAGATAATAAAAATTTCACTTCACTGTCTGATTACTACATTTACTAATATAATGTCATTGAAATTCTGACATTATCGATGATAATTTTTTACTGTGTTTACAGGTGACTAATACAAATGTATAATGTCGTGTTCGAATTATGAAAACTTTGCACGCAATAGGTTCAGGAATAATGAAATATCAATCTAGGAATACTGAAAAACCATGAGAACTAATTAGTTTCAAATTATCTTAGTGTTGATTATTCATTCATATAGTTATAATTGTTGTCAAATTTCAACTAGTCATTAGACTTCAACAATCAATAACTGCATTTTGAGTAAGTTACCACTCCCTTTCAATATGCCATGATATGGGTTTAATGAGTGAAAGTGCAATAAATTTTCTCAAAAATCTATTGTTCATATGCCTGTCCTAGAATATGATAGGAATGTTTGAGCATAGTCATATAATTCTTATATTTGAACATATTTCATCATCCAACAGTGAAAATAAAATATTTAAACACCAGGCGAATGGGATTATTCTGGTCAATGATTTTGATATCAATATAGTGAGCTTGTTGAATTGTTTCACCACAGAAAGTGGAAGATGATCTTGGAACATTGCTAAATGATTGAAGTCAGACATATACACCACTTGATGTTGACTCAATGATCTAGAAGTTAAGCGCTACCTAAGAGACTGAATATCCTCGATTTGAACAATAATGAATAGATACATACCAGGGAGGATAAGACAAATATCTGATGACTTCTTCATGATATAAACCATGAAAATTGTAATTCTCTTTGACGTTTGATTTATTTTTGTTAGCGACTACTGTATTTATTTCCGTATGAATCTTATCAAAGTTTACTAATAACCTGAGACTGATCATCACTAAATACTATATGTTTATTGAGCATTTTAATCGATTTAACTAATTCCTGATATAATTACTGTTTCGATTACTATCATTGATACTAATACGTAATGTACTCTAATATGATTAAGTACTCAATGATAAGATTACCTTAGTTTTGGTTAATTTAAATAGTTCATTGTATGATATCAATTTGTGCTCTATTTCTATATGGGTAGTTCCTTGAATGGTTATTTCCATTGCTCTATATAAAAAACTAATTACAAAATCTTTTTCTCACATCTCAGGATAACACGTTTTTTCTTTAATCATTAGTTTTCTGAGTGATAAAGCTCCTACTATTTTCACTAGTCAAAATGAGTTATTTGCCTTTATGAAGTCTTCGATTTTCTGATGGTCGATTGATTATAAACATTTTTTGATTTCAGCACATCCTAGTCAGTAATAGATCAGATGAAGCATAGAACATGGTTCATCAAAGTTTGAGCAAAAAGTAGAATGACAAAAAAGCTTTATTATCAATTTTAATTTTTTTGAATTTTCGGTGAAAACAAGTTTGCGACTAGATTAAGCTGTAACATGTATCTGAAGAGAGTTCATTAAAGATGTCTAGGCAACAGCCCTTTGTTTGATCTACATCATACTACTTACTATTAAACCATACATCACCATTATTTTCCATCGATAATCAGTAAGCTATTTTCTTTGTTTCAATTAGCCCATTAATAATCATATAATTGATAGGCATATTTGAATATACAAAGTAGTTAAATGTCATCTTACAAATTTAAAAAGTCAGTCCTACTCAATAAGTACTATATGTAGAATAAAATACTGTTTTTCTTTCATACTGCTAAATAAATTCAATTTGTAGACATTAAATTATAAAACTCTACTAAAGTATTCATTTTATATTTACCTCCAGTGCTTTCGTGGGAGAGGACAAACCAGATTCCAGAGGAGGAAGAAATCAGTAAGAAGCGTTGGAAGTGGATAGGACACACATTTTGGAAACCACCCAACTGCGTCACATGGCAAGCCCTCACATGGAAACCTCCAGAGCGAAGGAGAAGAGGGAGACCAAAGAACACATTACGCCGAAAAATGGAGACAGATATGAAAAGAATGATCAAAAATTGGATAGAACTGGAAAGGAAGGCCCCGGATAGACTATATTGGAGAATGCTGGTCAGCGGTTTATGCTCCATTGGGAGTAACAGGCGTAATTAAAGTAAGTAAGTAAGCTTATAGGTCTTCCTTGGTGGTTTAGCTTCAACTGACTCATGAATTCAAATATTAAATTAATATTTACGTATTCAGAAGTTTTAACTAAATTGCGTGATGTATTTAGAAGTTGTATTGTCTTTAACGTAACATATTTGAATTGCAGCAATCAACATGTTGTTGTTTTTGTTACCAAAAATAAGGTTTGGAAATAAGATACATTTTTGTGTCCAAAAATTCAAAATGTTCAGGGATGACCTAAAGTATCATTAAAAAAAATACATTCACACAATTTTATTTCTCATTAAAAGTAATTTATAAACGACTTTCGAGCTATACAAATGTAAACTTGAGAAACTCTGACAAATTATAAAGTTGAAAATAAGGTCATTAATTTGTGTGAGAAATTAGCATTTGAAGATCGGGTTATTAAAAGTTAGGGTTAAGAATGAGACATCAGGTTTTCATTACACATATATAATCTGTGACGTTGGGAAACTATTTAATCATTTGAATGGATAAATTTCGCGCTGAAAATTTAAGATATGCTATCTGAATGATAATTGATCCTTTCATTAAATGTCATCTAACCGATTTATAAATTTTGCTAGATGATTTTTTGCACTTAGACTACGAGGTCTTGGGATGGATAAGATGCATTGAAAATGAAGAAATATTTTTAACTAGATTAGGAATTATAAAGTTTTTTGTGAAACAATAATGGAATATTATGAATTATTGTACTTGAAAATATGTTCTATACTCAATACACTATTTATCTATAAACCTCATGTTCTTATCGGACAGATCATGTAATGAAATTTCTAAGTCCATTTAAGGCAAAAAGCTAAATGAAATACACAAATCATACATAATATATGAATTATCAATTAAATCGTCCTATTGTGGACTTATGCATGAAAGCTTGAAGCAAGCGTTATTAATGGTTATTCACCACTATAACAAACAGGGACAATAATAACATGTAGAACGTCCACTTGACGTTGTTCTACTTACATCTTCTGATAGGTGTTTACGACTACAATTGATCAGTCTCTTATTGACATATGTGCATCCTGTGAGGATTTTCTCGATATTGCCTTAAGTCACAAGCTTTTTAAGCAAAGATGGATAGTGGATAGTGGTGGAATCCACACACGATGCACATATGCCAACAAAACACTGATCAATTGAAGTCCTAAATAACAATGGGGAGATACAAGTAAAACAAGATCAAGTAAATTTAAACTTCAGCACAGTGCACAAGCAGATGGCTATCAGGAATGAGTAGGTAAGTGGATAACGCAATGGTGTTTGAAGCGAACGGTACTGAGTGAACATCAACTTTGGGATGTAGGTACATTCATCTGACGAGTCGTAAATAGAACGAAACACGCGTCTTGGATTCCACTGCTAGCCACTATACATCTTTGCTTAAAAATTCATTTATGTGTTTTCAAATTATTGTGCTTTCCCCAGTTTATTTTCTGTAATATACAATAAATGATTTGATCTTAGCTCTACAATCTGACAATCAACATGTACAATTACGGTGACTTTCCCGGTCAGAAAGCAAAAAGAAAGATTTTCCACAAACTAAGTTTATATTCACGAAGATGAATAAAAATAAACCAATTGAATTATATCTTCCCATTTTTTCTCACTTTTGTTATTTTTGTTTATTACTTAAACATACAAAGTATATTACTTAAATGGATGACTTCTAGGCAAATCATAATTGTTACCAACTGTTTAACCAATCAAAATGTTAACTGTATAATAAGAATAACCTGTCTATTGTTTTTGTTTTCTTAAATTTTATTTATTCACTTAATGACAAAAAGAAAATATGCAAAATTCAACATAAAAGACGAACAGGAATCTTTTTTTCTTCTCTTTTTGTTCCTGGAAACAACCGGAAATCTAGCACAAATTATTGATTAAATATGTAAAGTAATTGATAACAAATTACATAATAAATCAGAATTTCTATTTAATAATATGGATGATGATCAACTAATCACTGTTGAATGTTCACAATCATTAGATTCTATAATAATACATAATTCAAATGAGAAAGATGTGAAATCTCTTCATGATTGTGTTGAATTAAGTACAATTAAATCTTCAAGTATAAATATTACATATGAAGAAAGTAAATTATCAACTTCAATCTCTTCTTCTATACCATCATCAAATCCAACTATTGTTGAACCTGTAACATCATCACCACCACCAACAACAACAACAAAACCATCTATATCACATGATTCTAGCTATAGTTTATTGAATAGTTTTAAAAAACGTATTAAACAACATTTAACTATATCAAGAAATTCTAGTTTACATAAAAGTATGCATGATTTATCTATATCCCCCAAGAAACTCAATTTTCAATCAACTAATAATAATAATAATAATATAATAAGTTTAAATTCTGCATCAAGTTCCATTTCATCAACGAATGTAAATAAATTAAATTTAACACAAGATGTACCAGATGACATAACATTAATTGAAAATGAACATGATAAAGCATTAATTACTGTAACATCATTGACTAATGAACAATTACTTTTATTACAATCAAGTTGGAGTTTAGTGAAACAATATATTGAAAAAATTGGTGTGATTACATTTCTTGGGTAAGTTATTAATTGAACATACATCATTTCTTAGTTCGATGAAGGAAATAGGTAGTTGTTTTGTTTAATTACTTATTCTTTAAAATAAGATTAGTCTCTTAACATATCATATTTATTTTCCTTGGAAGCAATCTTCCAAGGGTTTGAGTAGTCAACTAGATGAATAATATAATGTTTAAAATACATCTTACCAGTTATATCTTTAATACATTGTTTTGCAGCTATTTACGTTTACGTGATCTATTGTAGGGTATGTTGAATAGTAACAGAATGCCATGCAACAAATTTCCGAACTATAAAAAAATTGAAGCGATGAACACTATTTGAATGAGAGCTAATATTACCATAATTATTTTTACTTAACTTAATTTGAATATTGATCGTAAGCTTTAAAAATAAAGTCGAATTTACGATCGATTTTTACCAGCATATTTATTAGTTAAGTATATTTTCACATGCCACGCACAACTAACAATATCCAACAATATTGTACTTCATGACAGTCCGACACCATCTGTTGATTCAATACTGATTTTGTTATATTTTAGTATGGGGAAATATGATGCTGAGGATATTTGTACGCTTTGCTTTAAGATAGTGGAGATGTAAAGTTATCAGGGAGGATTTTACTACAATCTCGGTGGTCTAACCGTCAAACATACATTCTTCTTCTGGACAACAATGTTTGCACAAACTTCAGTTAAATGCAAGCTATTCGAAATTCTCCAGATAGACTGGTGGCCTATTTTATGAACTTTAGTTATAACTGGTTGTCCAAAATAAATAAACAATGACGTGATAAACGGCAATAGCAACTAATGAAGATCAAATTTGATAGAGCAAGTTATCAATCATTTATGTAGAAATGTAAATGGCTCACTTCATTTCTTATTCTTCTTCATTTAATGTTGTTTTTTTTCTTGAAGATTAACGTGACACATAAATTACAAATGAAACACATAAATTTCACATTCATAAATAACTATCAAGTTATTGAACTACTATAACAAATGAAGTTATCAATTTTGTTAAAAAAAATTTATTGAATTATACTTTCCAATGTTTGTTCAGCTGAATTTATTCATTAATGCAAATTACTTTGAAATGGTGGAGAAGATTTGTAGCTCAGGTGGATGATTTTGTTCGAGTTTTATTCTCTGACCAGGATGATTTGATCACAGAGAATAAAGCTCTAGCAAATTACTTTTAATTCTCATGCAATCAATAAATATGAATACACCTTCTGAAAACTAACCTCGACAAAAAGATGAAAAAACTACATAAATATCAGGGCATAAATCATTAGAAAAAAACTCAAAATCGTTTGCCAAAAGATGTGTATTTATAGGAAAATCAATAACAATATTAAGAAAACTATTGGCGAGACTATAATTTATGAACAAATCAATCACGTATAAGATAATGGGCCTCGGAGTTTAGTGTGAAATTCACTGATCCATTTGGATAAATGGAGTTTTGGCATTTTGGCTGATGTCAGTTTGTGATATAAACCCGAAATCTAATTCCTAAACCTAACCATCAACTGTAAATCATAATTCTAATCCCCCACAATGTTTCATAACCCTTATTTGATCTTAGTTATTAGGTGAATGCTCTCAAGGTCAGTTTAGCGTCGCTCAAAAGTCATCCATAAATTATAGTATCACCAAACTATTCAAACTATTATTGAAAGAAAATAATTATGAAGAGTACAATTATTATCAATAATTTGTAGTGACCTACTTTTATGAAGAGAACGCTATTGGTATAACCAATTGTACCAGTGATTGTTTTACTGTACCTGTTTATTTAAAGGTACTAAAACCATACATTCTTCCGTTGATTGTGACCTTGCACGAATTCGGTTAAGCTCGGTAACCACACTTGTAACCTGGCACAATCTCGGTATCCTTTCAATACCACGAGATCGTCAACAAATACGTCTCGACTACAGTCATCAGCTGCCTTCTGATATTTGGCCTTAGGGGGGATCTTATCGGTTAACTGGCACGTAGTCTTCCTGTAGTGATGATCATAGTCAAACACGACTCGACGCCACACTACAATGTTTATAATGATTTTAACAATTCCTATAATTTTTGTTCTTATCAAATAAAGATTGATCTGATTCCTGACATTAGATTTCGAACTAAATGAATGGTGTGCATGTAATTCAAACAATTACTTATAAAACTATAAATAAATCAAGATATTAACTGTTTATCACCCGATTACTCATCAATATACGTCATTACTATTCGATTTAGTATATTATAGTCGATCTACTTAATATGCTACTGTAGTTTATTCAATTTTATATTTAGAAAGAATCATATTGAATTAGTTATTAAGTTTTTTACAATCAAATCTAACATAATCTCATATATTATGACTCACTCTTCGTTTGTTACATAAGGAACCGAGATCGTTCAAACTGATAAATTAAACTTTTTGATGTTTACAAATTCACTAGTTTTTATTGAAATCATAAACTGATCAACTTTAGACTACCATTGAAAACCTGGAAGTACTTCAAGGGTATTTCATTCTGGTATTGGACTCCTCACCAGTTCATAGTCACGGTCCTGCACACGGGACCAAAATCCAGGAACTTTGATCACTCGCTTACAAGATTAATCAACTGAGTAACAAAAAATGAGTTTCTTTGAATAGTTGAGATCATAAGTAAATTGAAGCTAAACTACCATGAAAATCTGCAAGCACTGGATGGCCATTTCGTCCTAATGTGGGTCTTCCTAGCAGTGCACTTCCACGATCCCGCCTCGCAGGACCTGTCAGTCTCGTGTGCAAACGCTTAACCTCTAGAGCACTGAGCTGGCAGGTGTTAATGTCTAACTTCAACTAATATAGTGCTTCCAGATTTTCCATGGCGGTCTAACTTCAAATGACTCATGACCTCAGGTATTAAAATTAATATAATATCCACACAACCCCCTTCTGATAAAACGAGTTGTTTTATTTTGTGAAATTACACATTTTCCTTACAAAAAAACACTCGACTTTCTTATGGTATAATATTATTAGTTAGAAATGTTCTCCATTGTGTATAAACGTTTAGTATCATATCTTTTTATGAATATGTAAGAACATTTAATATGTCAACTATTTCTAGTTGAATGAATATAAATGTCATGAATGAACAATAAAGGTGAAGGTAATTGTTTCAATGATGTTTTACAGGAAACGGAATAATTTCATTTGATTCAGTTCATTCTAAATGAAACCGAATTTTAAATGAAAGAAATGTTTAACCTATACAAATGTATATAAACCATATACTATTTATTTGTAGATTCTTTTTTTTGATAATCTCATACTGATTAGATTTCTTTATTAGTTATATTGGTTGTTGATTTATTATCTGTTTATTTGAACACATAAATATTAGTACAGAGGAGGCACGGAATAAATATGCACCATACAAATCACTTGATTTGTGTGTGAGCAGTAATACTGTTCAGGTGCTCAAACCGAAACAGGGGGTTTACTTGAGGGGCTATACCCGCAGCCTTCAACATAAAGGTCTAATCCATAAAACGGTGGAGTAACGTTAAGAGATGCAGTCACATGGTATCTGTTGACAAATAATTGGTTCATGCGCTATTTGTTTATTCAGGGTCCTGGAATCCATGTGCACTATTGATTTGGAATGAGGGTTTTTCAACTCCCCTAGGTGGATCCTCCGTATCCACTGACCCGGTTAAAGCTCTGGATATTCACTTTTCGTCCTGACAAATGTCATAAATCTGATAGGATTTCGATAAATAAATCTGTCAAATATTTCACTTTTTACTTATGCTCAAATTTAAATGAAGTACACAATTGCTCTACAAATCTACATGTACAATGGATATTTAGAATTAATCAATTATGAACAAAGTGAATAAAAAACAGAAAACTTTAAAAAAAAAGCAATTGAAAGAATATCAGATAGATGTTTGAAAGTAATTCGAAAAACTTTTGAACGATAACAAACCATGAACTCAGTGTTAGATTAAAATCAGTTTGTATTTCTATCGTCAGTAAATTCAAACTAATACGTACCGACTATTTATTTTCATTCATCGAGTGTCTCTTTTCGGGAAGGATTGAATTTAATCAAAGACATATTCTGAATGGAAATTTAAAAATTATTCTTGATATTACCCACTGGTTAACAAGCAGTTATTGTTTGAATTTGAAAGAAGTATAAGATGAGAGTAATGTAAATCAAAGATTGAATTAAGTGAAACAGCCGATTAAAAGAGTCATCAATAATTACCATCTCAGTCAATCAATGGTGGGAACAGTTTTTAAACATTATAATCTTTACAAAACTTTGTTTCTAATGGTGTTCACAGAGGTTCATAGATCTTGGGTAATATGCTTTTCTCAGACATCATAAATTATATTTATCTTTATAATAAATATGTTTGAGAGCATTTAAATCTCATCACGCATAAAAACAAACTATCTGTTTTTAGAAACAAAATTAGTATCTAAGGGAAACATACGATCATAACGACATAAAAACCTGTTTACAGGATGTGGTTTTAGCTATTTTTATCTTTATAAAGGAATTCTTTTCATTTGAGTAATTAATTAATTAAAACAGTAGTTGGATTACTAGTAACCAAACTGATTTTTTATTGCAAATCAATTTAGCGTATAACATTATTTTATCATTTCAACTTTATAAGTAAGATGGCATTTTGACAGACGAGATTCATACAGAAGATATTCGGCATCGTCGTTTATCTAAAAAAATCATACATTGTAACAAAACAATCGAGCAAGGTGAATGTTATCATGTGATCATACGTAAGTAAAGAAATTAAGGAATCACTATGTGAATTTAGGTGGTTTATGTTTGATTAATATCGGTCATATAAATGATCGTAATAGACCTGAAACAAATTCGAAGACATGAATTAGTAAAATTGAGAAAAATAATGGAGTAAAACAACGCAAACGACTTATTCATTATTTGTATCTACATA